CCTCCAGGCCACCCCGCCCAGCACCCCGCGGGCCAGCGCCCAGGAGAGGAGCACGCGGCAGCCACCGGCCTGGACATCATCTCCACCGACGACCTGGAGGACTTTGCCACAGAGGGCATTTCCTGAGGGCGACAGCGGCCGACTCCCACCCCCCACTCCCCCCAGTAAACCCAGGCAGTGCTTTCTCCCCTCCCCGAAACATGTGCACACAACACAGACACACAGAGATCTACACACGTACACACACACACACACAGACGCCTACTTAGCCACTTGAGACCGCTGAAGTTCGAAAGAAAGCGGTGATCCGAGCTCCCCCTCTAAAGGCTGCCCTCTGAAGAAGGGGCACTGCTTGCATGGCCTGGCCCCCTGGGTGACCCTTCCTAGCCCACTCCATTCTTCTCTCTTCCCCTCCCTTCCTCCCTGCTTTAGCCACCCCTGCCCTTCTCTGGCCCTGCCACCAGGGTGGGTGTGGCATACCACACACACACACACACACACTCCCTCAGGGTGGCTGTGCTCCTGCACTCCCCCACTCCTCATCAGGAGTGGGCTTTCCCTGTGAACAAACCCAAAGCCCCAGAAATGGGGAGCCCTGCTGTGGGCAGGGAGCTCCCCAGCAGGTAGACAGAGCACTGTGCGCCTAGGGTCAGGCGACACAGGGGCTCCACTCTCACACGCACAGAGCAGACAGTGTCCAAGTGGCTCAGCAGAATGGCTGAGGGCCACACGAGGCAACCTTGCAGACATGTTTATTTGCACAGAGTAAGAGGAAACTCAAGAGGAAACTTGCTTCTGAAGGTTACTTTCTGAAGGAAAACGCTACCTTCTAAAAAGTGAAACAAGTTTGCAGATGTGGTTCTGTCCCTGGACTCCTGTGTCCCTTCTGTGGGCAGTGGGGGGTTGGTGTGAGCAGAGCCCCCTCCTGCATCTACTGCAGCCCCAAGACCCCACCTCCTCCTTCGATGCCTGTCCACGCCTTCTCTGGGGAAGGCAAAGACGAAGCCTGGGGGAACCGAGTCGGGCCCTGACCATTCCCATTTAGTGACTGATACCTACACTTTCACTCAGAAGAGAATTGCATTCTTCCTGAGTCCCCAGCCTTTGGGGCTTTGGAGGGAAGTATCTGATTCAACCAAAGGGAGCAGAGTGTGGAACCTCCCCTGCACCTCCTGAGGGTCTGAGAGCAGGTGCTCACTGTGGGCCATGCTGGGAAGCAAACCAAGCTGGTCTTCACAGGCCACCTGGTAGCTTCTCCTGAAGCCACTCATTGCTCTGCGGTAAAGGCATGCCAGTAAGTGCCTCTACCCTCTCCATCCTTGTTTAGAAACCTCGCAGCTGCAGGGAACATGCTGCCTGCGTTTCAGAAAACCATGCACAACGGATTATCCTTGTCTGTTCATAGAGGTGCTGTGTCCACGCCAGGAGAAGCAGAGGTGCACAGTTCACCAACTCCCACACCCACAGAAATACAAAGGCATATTCCAGGTTGTGATTTGGTTCCAGGATTATGTGCCTATTCCCAGCAAGTTTAGGCACACCTGCATTTAATTGTAAAAATACGCCTCCCCCAACAAACCCTGGAGGCCCCAGAAATGCTGAGCACTGCTGTGGGCTAGGCTGTGGGGGTCAGCCAATGATTGGCCAGGAGCACAGGCAGGCCACCATTCCAGAAACCTGGTTCCCAGAAGTCACTCACCAGGGTGAAAGTGACAAGAATAAAGTGCTTTAACTGTCACCACATCCTATCAGGCATCCTCTCCACTGCATTTTCATCTCACTAAAATGAAAAGTGATGGATGATTTTAAAATTCTTAGGGCCCCAGGACAAGATTAACCTAACAAAGAGGCACTTAGTTCAGTAAAACACCATAGCGATGACAACTACATCTCCACAAAGAAAAATATTACTGTGGGGAACCTACTCGGGGACAGCAGTCATTTCCATCTCAGTAATATTGGCAGAGCTTGGACAGAGCTAAATCATAAAGATCAAGCCAACACCTGCCTCGGCCCATTATCATGCTGCTAAACAGAAATACCTGAGTCTGGACGAGTTCTCGGAACGAGGTTTATTTGACTCACGACTCCGGTGGCTGGAAAGTCCAAAGGCGAGTTTCTGGGGCTACATCACAATGGTTGGTGAAAACAGAAGAAGGCAGGAAGCAGAATTCCCCATTTCCTGTGTTTGTCCCTCCCATCCCCCAGCTGATTGGCTGGTGCACTCCCACTAGGCCCCATCTCTTAAAGGCCTCAGCACCTCCCAAGCCTCCACACTGAGACTAAGCTTCCAGAACGTACTGGGTGGGCGAACAGCGATCCAAACCATAGCAGCTTCCCAGTCCTCTTTGCCCTTGTGGATACAAAAGAAGAGCAGGGCTCTGGCTCCCAGCAAGCCAGCTGGAAAGTAGCCCTGACTCCTCTATCTCTGTCCCTAAAAGCAGATGTGCCTCTAGGGGATAAAGGTAAGAGTCATTATCCAGTGAAGACCGGTTTGTCCCTGGGAGGGATCATTTATGTGTCCCTCCTTTCCCCCTTCCTCACTTGTACATTTGCAGTATGTCAGGCACTTCGATGGGCAGCGAAGATAACATGATAATAAAATCTCATCTCTACTCTTAAGGAGCTAAAATCCAGAGAAGGAAGATAATTGCTATTACATGCATTAAAAAATTTACTAGGATGCTCTGAAAAATGCCTAACCAGCCTGGAAGAAAAAGGGGCTTCCTTGAGAAGAAGGCACCTGAGCCAAGTCACAAAACACAACATGGGATAGCAGCATATAAAGGAAAAGGAAATAGTGTTTCCCCAGCTTTAATATGTCTACCCCAGATGACATTGATGGAATAATAATAGACTTGTTTTAGCATTCCGACGTGTATTGATCTAGCCAATTATTTATTAGCATTTCTGATCAGCACAAGAGCTGAACCACTGTAGCCGCACAGGATAGACCTTTATTGCTATATTCCTCAGTTTCTAAATTAATATTTCACTCATTTGGATCACCCAGAAAAACCTCCATTTCTGCCATCTTGCTTAATAGGATAGTGGTAAGAATAATGAAAATATGATGTTTGTTGGTAGAGATTGTAGATGCTGCCTGCATCTTCAGGCCCTTTGTGGAGCCTGTGTCTCCTGGGAAGGGAACGTGAACATGGAACACTCAGGAGGTCCGGGAGCAGCTCAGCCAAGAATGACCAAGAGTTCACATTGTCAAGTCCCTGTCATGCGGAGTCCCTGAGCAGGAAGCTCTGAGCCTGGTCTCCCAACAAACCGGGAGAGATGCCCCCGTTAGCTTGACTGTACTGTGATGGAAGGTACTGGAATGGAACTAACCGTCCGCAGTCCCGCAGCCACGGAGAGGTCACACCAGGACTCAGACCTCTCTCACTTCTAGGAGGACTTTCTTAACTTCCATTCAGCACTCCTCTAAGTGCGGTCCAAGGACCAGGAGTTTTCACATCACTGAGAGCTTGTTAGAAATCTAGAATTTCGGGGCCAGCAGTTGGGGTAATGGCTATGTCACTGAACTCCCATATAGCCAACCGTGGTTTGCGTCCCGGACCCGGTGGCTTAAACTCACACCAGGTGCATGTGCGTGTGTGCCCAAGATCTCAAGAGGAGAATGGAAGAGAAGAGATTGAGGCGTGGTCATCCCACTTGCAGGGTGATTTCTCTCTCTCTCTCTCTCTTTCTCTGTCTGTCTTTCTGGTGAGTGCACACACCCTGTAGCAAAAACCTCTAAAAAAAAAGAGAAAGAAGAAAGAAAGAAAGAAAGAAAGAAAGAAAGAAAGAAAGAAAGAAAGAAAGAAAGAAAGAAAGAAAGAAAGAAAAAAAGAAAGAAAGAAAGAAAGAAAAAGAAAAAAAGAAATCCAGAATTTCAATCTGTATCTTCACAAGATGCCGTAGGTCTGTAGGTGGTGGACTCCTTTGTACATCGAACTCGGAGAAGTACTCTCGGCCTCTGTTAGCCTGGATAGCTTTAGGGAAGTGCACTGGATATCTTCATGTCTGGGCAGCATTGCCCGGCACGAGGGAAGAGAGATGCACCTTCTAGGAGGAGTGTCAGGGAGGCAGGTTTCCACTCAGCGTAAGAAAGGCATCACTAGCGACGAGCTGCCTGCCTGTGACCTGAGCGGCTCAGAGGGCGGTGAGCTCCCCAGCACTGGAGGGGTACGGTTGACAACCCCTTCCTAAGCCAGGGATGCATTCAGACATCAGTGGCATCCTAAGTGCGTTTTTAAGTCTCCAGGCTACATGCAGGGCTCCAGTATGCAGAGACAAGGACCCAAATCCTAAACAGGGAGTGGCTATTTGCATATGATGGAGAAACACTCGCATATAAGAGAGTTCTGGCAAAACCTGATTCTTTGCAGTAGAAGCTGTTTTGGCCTTGGGAATACCATGAGGTCGGACATAACTGCTTTTGCAAGTCTTCCACACCATTCAGGTAGAAAGTTCCAGGTAAGCAGAGAACTCCAGGCCAGATCACCAGAGCAGGGCACCACCCGAGTTATGCTTAGGCTTCCTCAGTGCCCCCTCAGCAGGGCCAGTGAACAGAGGGTGCTTCCCTTCCCCCAGGTGTCCGGATGGGTTCTTCCTCATTTCCCCTGCTCCCCTGGGATGCCTAAGCCTATTGGGGCTTCACAATCACCTGGGCACTTGTTGACAATATGGGTCAAAGCTTCCACTTCCAGCCTTCATCAGACTCACTATAGAGGTGAAAGCTCTCAGAGTCTGATGGGACAGATCATAAACACTACAGAGAGGAGAGTCCCCACACCTAGAAACAAATGTCCGTCAATGATGAATGGACAAACAAAATGTGGTATATCCAGTCAATGGAAAATCATTCAGCCTTGAAAAGGAAGTTCTAATACGTGCTCAATATGGATGAGCCCTGAGGATGCTCCGTTAAACAGAATCAGCCGATCACAGCAGGACAAATATTGTATGATTCCACGTACAACCTAGAGCAGTTGAACTCAGAGACAGAAAGACAGGAATTGGGAGGAGGGAGACTGGGGAGATGTTTAATGGCACAGAATTTCAGCTGGGGCCGGTGAATCGATCTGTAGATGAATGGTGATGAATGTATTTAGAGCATTTAGTGTGCATTTACA